TTCTAATTAATTATATTAATATAAATTCATAATATGAAAATGGAACCTAAGAACTTTTTAATGTAAAAATAAAAAACTTATAGAATACGAGTAATAAGGGCTAAAATTTACTTTAGTAACACATTTATAAAATAAAATTACTAAGCATTTTCTAAGTATACACAAAATAATATTATTTACTATTACTATTAATATTGCTATTATATTGCTAATTAGTACTAGTAATAGCTATATTAATATACTAATTACTATTTTTACCCGCATTTACGAAGTAAAAGTGTGGGTTATAAGATCGATTTCTTTCCTCCCCTCCCTCCCCCTCCCTTCCCCCCTCTCTTCCCACCTGCCACTCCTCTTATCGACACTCACTTCCTTCTCACTAATTTTCGGTTATAAAGCTAATTCAAAAGACAATTTTAATTGTGATAGTACATAATTTTATATGCTTATTGATTACCGTTAAATAATCTAAAATTTATGAAATTATAATTGATTCTATTGATACTAATCTAAACTAACATGACATAACTTATCATACCATAACTAGAGTTTCTAAGCTAGATTATACTTCCTTGAGAATATATAAAATTTAAATTAAGTTCTAGTTAATTAATTATTTAAAATATCTAGATTTACCATATTAAATAGTATATAATATTATACCCAATATCTCAGTATTACATATTTGAGAAAACTGTATACTTGTCTTAAAACGTTTATTGATTGTAGCATAAAACATTCATATTAAAGTACATAATATTCATTATCATTGAGTTTTGTGTATTACAAATTATAACAAAAAATAGTAATTTGTATTTCAGCCGGTCCCACAGAATATCAATAATAGTTGAGAGCTCAAAATAACAATAAATCAAAACTAAAAATTTTAATATTTCTAAATGGATTAATAAATGAAGATGCTACATTTTATATTATAATACTAAAACTCACGGTTAAACATAGGGAAAGATTTAATTAACTTGTGGGTGAATGTCATCCAGTTTTTTAAACGCTTTCTGTACTGCCGTTAGAAGTTTAGGCAAATATTTATCATCTTGATTGCGTCTCATTTGCACCTCAATGGCCAGGCTGAGTTCATTGCCCAAGTCACGATAGTATGGTTTAGTGCACGTTTCGTACGACTTCGCCAAGTCCGAGGTAATCGTAAAATTTGCTTGTTGGGCATCAGTCAGAAGTTGGGCATAACTAGCATACACATTTTTAAATTTCATATCCTTTAAATCGCCAGACATTTTAAGATCCGGGTCTCCGTCAGGTGCGTCCTCATAAATCTTGCTTATCTCTGTGCCCAGGTCAATTTGTACTTGCTGCAGCTGGCTAATGCGATCGTTATACGGCGACGATTCATCCTGGTGATTCCGCATCAATCCAATCAATGCTGCTAATTGTTGAAGTAAAACTGGCAACTCTTGTTTAGCCACGTAATTAAAGTTATCCGGTTTGGCAATAAAAGTGACCACGCTATGTCTTAGTCCATCACCAATCGCTTCCCATTCGTTTCGTTTATTACCGATCATTTCATCCATTCCATTGTCTATAAAACATTGGATCATTTCTGTCAATAGTGAACTCTGAACGCCGGTTCCCAACAATATTATGGCTGAAATCAAATAAATCATTTTCATATTCATTTTAACTACAAATAATTAATTATATAGCAAACTAAACGTGGTTCAGTAGTTTGAATTTGTAAAACTATTGTTTACTTAACTAGTTACTTATTAAGTGTCTACAATAATATGAGCTTATATTTATTTAGTTACCAAGTATGAAATGATTGTAAATAAGAGTTAAGCTTAATTTTTGAAAATAATAATTCTAACAAAAAACCTGTATATTTATAAATTTTATGACTTTATGCTGAATGTTTAGTAATTCAATTTAATTTTAATAATTTTTTCTCATTAAATTTCTAAGCATTTTACATTTATAGATATTTCTGAGATGTACATTTTTATTTCAAATTAATTTTAAATATCACCATATTTATATTATCAATTAATATTAGAACTAACATGATTAGTTAGAATATTATAATTCAGTATAAATTAATATATATATATATATATATATATTATTAATTTTTTATATATATATGCATTTAGGTAGAATTTCAAAAATAAATTAAATTAACGATAAGTTTACTGAATATTAATCATAGAAAATTAATTATAATTTGAATATACCTTTTGTAGGTTTTATACAGCGTTGTTACTAAATAAGGAACCCATTTGAGGGGCTTGCTATTTGGGCACCCTGTATTATTTTTTTTGAAACTCTTTCATAAACATAAACTGGAATAGTTAGATTTTTGTTTGGTATACAACAATCCAATATTTATATAAGCCATATATTTTTAAATTTAATTCTTTAAAAAATTTGGTATAAATTTTACATTTTTTTGGCTATAACTCTAAAATTATTAAAAATTTGACAAATTTTACGAACTGTATTAATAAAAAAAATTTCAATTGAATATCAAAAATATCAAATTTAAATATTTGCTTGATATTACTCTACAATTTGAAGTGTTTAGTGATTTAAAAATATTTATTAATTAAAACTATGTTTTTAAAATTATTTTTCATTGCAAAGTGTATTATTTATTGCATTAATTAATAATCAAATATAAATGATTACAATAGTAATATTCAAATGATTAGCATGCAAACTAAAATATCACAAAATTGCCTTGATATAATTTATGTGTTGTTGTTTGATGATGACTTGTAATACAAGGTGATTGAATATTTCATGAAATAATTTTAACATTATTTTCTATGAGAGTATAATGTTAAAGGATTTGAGACAATTTTTAATAAGTTTTAAAACTTTTAACAAAAGGTGTTTATGTGAATGAAAAGTAATTTTTTAAATTACAAACTATGTCTGTTTATTGGATAACAAATTACAATTAACTCCACTTCAAGATTAAAATATATGATATAAAGCACTTGTTTTGTTGTAATTTATTTTTAAAACAATATTATTTAGTGACAGACAGTGGACGGGCTTTTTAAATGTGTTAATAAACAACACAATAAAGTAATTATAAATACAACGAAATATTATAATATATTTATTATTTTTTATGCAAACATATATCACACATTTACTCGCTCCATTTAGTGATTAATAAACTTGTACGATAATTTTTATAATGCTATTTTGTTTTATAAAATTATATTTATATGATAGCTATTTTGTAAGCTATTAAAAAATCTGTTATGTTATTGACATTTATCGGGTATATAAAAAATATGTACTTTCAAATATATTACCCCCGTAGGTATACTATATATCTGTATATAAATAGCATATTTATGTAAAATAATTGGTGTTCCACTCAATGGGTGCCTAAAAGTGGTATAATTGTCGCAAACAAAACTAAAAGTTTCATTAGTTTTCACAAATGATTGAATTTTCAAAATTTAATTTTTAGACACTTATCCGAAAATATAGATAAGATTTAGTTATTTTAGAAAATCAATTGTATTTTTAATTTAATGAATTATTTTTATATTAATAGTTAATATAATAGTATAGATAACATAGAAATTTACAATATTTTACAATCATGATTGTTTTTATTAACTCGTTTATATATTTTAAAAAACTTATAATTAGATTCTTGTTCATAAATATAATTTTAATTAATTTTTAATCAATAGCCATAATTACAGTCTATTACTGGAAATCGCTATTAAATTAATACATTAATGAATAAATATTTTTAGATACCATTTTATTATTCATAATTAAAATTCCTAGTTAATTATCATTTCAATTGTCAATTATATTACCTTGATTGTATTATTATAATATTATCAATTAATTACATTTCGTGTCAATCCTTGAATATAACATTCAAACACACAAAACAAAAATTTTAAAAACTTTTATTACATGTATAATAATCACTATATATTGCGTATGCGGTGAGAAAAACGACAAAATGATTGATTTCAACAACAAATTCACACAAAAATATATTCACAACTTATTACATATATGGCCAGGCTCATTACTTAATCATGATAGGGAAGGTAGACATAACGGGGCCGGGAGGCGGCGGCTCTTAGCCTACCCACTCTACCCATCCTATGTTGGATCCGTTGTCCACTATTATGGCTGTTATCCTGACCGCCATATTTGTACACCCCTTCCACATCCTGACGCTCGTGAGCGCCGGGACCTGTCTGCTCGCCAGCGCCGGTATGCCTGATATGATTGGACACCACTACCGGCGAGGCCTCAAACTTGACATCGCCAGGGTCTTTGGGGGCAGTGCCCGGCTCATTGGTTTTGATACGGGCCCGGAAGCCATACTTGTCGGCCACGTACTCCACTTCCCTCGTAATGCCGTCCTTGTCTTTGAAGCCGTAGCTCCCGATGACGTTAGAGGGATGTTGGCTTTTCTCGTGCCGCCACTGTTTGTTCCCATGGCCGTCTAATTGGTAGAGATTTATAGGCTTTCCCCGTGAATGTCATAGTTTATGAAATTCTAGTGTTTTAGTTTTATTATGAAATAGGCTAGCTAATAATTTGTAGTTAATAGTGTAGTAAATTGTGACTAATTTAGTATGTTTTATGAACTATGCTAGATAATAAATGTATAGATTATAATTAATAGTATAGTTAAATGACCTCGTAATTATAATAATTACTAGTTGCTAGTATAGTTGAGTAATATATTTAATACTAACTTTTTAATATCAATACTAGCTACAATTTTTATGTTATGATTTAAACTCTACTTGCATAAATTTTAGCTTGGTAATAAGAGCTTGGTAATAAAAGTTAGTAAAGTGTACCTTCGATGTCGTATCCAAACCCGTATGGCTGGTAGTGTTTGTTGTCATCCTTTCAATACAAAGATTTTGATGGGAAAGGTATCATAATTTTAGGCGATATGACAAACCTCTCGATAATTATTGACATCATTGTGCCCACCGTCCTGTCCACTGCCCTGAGTGCACGACACGGCACCTAAAACGGCAAACACCGATACGTACGACAAGTATTTCTGATATAAAAACAATTTTTTGAAACTTTAAAAAACTTTAATCAAAACCATAAAACTTATGCAAAACTTGCCCCAAACGGTGAAATCATTTTTAAAAAAATATTTATGAATTATGACTGACTTTCGCGTGAATTACACACTAAATAGTGACTATAAGGGGATTGGGAAACCTTTTTATAGCCCACTCTGTCAACCGTTGAGGACTTTAGCACCGAAAGTAAAATTTGAAAATCTTTTCGGTAGAAAACCATAGCATTAGACATAAATATTTAGCGATTATTTTGTGGGTCACATACGATATGTTTTTTGGTGCATTCATTCATTATAATGGGAGTCTTAGCGATACAATCGCTGATTATATTTAATATACTCACTATGTATGCTCTCTCTCTCTCTCTCGCAAATCATTTTGAATATCGAAAGTTTGAAAAGTTTTGCTTAAAAACATAAAAATCTATTAATAATATCGATGCGTGTAATCAATGTTTGCGAAAAGCCTTTTGTGTTAACGTATGGATCACTCATCTACTCGTGTAGCCTATCAACTAAATCGCTACTAACGTATCATTTATTGATTTTAATCTATCCATAAGTATGTAATTGCTAGTTTGGCAAACTTTTTTAAGTATTAAATTATTAAATAATATGTTTTCATGCATTTTTATATTTAATAATTGAACCGCAAATGTAATAAAGTTATATATAAAATGCAGTATTATTTATGGTATGATATAATAACTAAATATAGTTTGAGTTATTAGTAGGCATTTAGTTTAAAATACTAGAAACTATTAAATTCAAAGTTAATATTGTATGTTTACATTTGTATGTTATAGGTATTAATTTTGCTATAATATTAATTATGTGATAATTGTATATTTTATAAATTAATTTTATATGTTTTCTATTTTTGATATTAATTATGTCTATAATTTGTTTTGTAAATACATTTTAAAATAATAGATATTTAGGAAAAAATAATTTACTTTTTCTATAAACACACCGAAAATCTTAAAGTTATTATCAATTTTTGAAATCAAATACTATTTTAGATAAACTTTTTTTGTCGAGTTATGCCTAATGTTTATCTAATAAAGTAATTATAGAGTAAACTAATTGTTTTCAATTGATTATAATTTATAACTATTTGCGATAAAAATATAACGATATTTGTATTTATCATAACAAACAAAATTAAATCAATTTTTTTTGTGGGTCTCATCCCTGAAAATCTAAACTTCAAAATCAAACCCAATGTCAATGATTAGCAAATTGATTGTCAATACAAATGATTATCTATTTATTGGTAAAACTTCTTAAACTTAAAATAATTGTTTTATTTTTGGAAATGTAGGTCAAAATTAGTGTTTTAATTAAAATGTATGATATTTTTTACTAAATTAAAATATATATGAATAATAAGCACTCGTTTAGTGAATAAAACTTTGTATTAATCAAAATGTTTTTAATTTCTATATACTATTTACAATTAAAACTATAATTAAGACATTAAATGCTAATCACATTAACTGTAAAAACATATTGTGTTAGAAATTATAGAAATTTATATTTATATTATTATTTATTATAATTTTATTCAAGCGTTACGTGAAAATGAAAATTATTTTTTTAATGTGAATATTAAATCATAGGCTTAACTACTGTATAAAGTTTTTGTTATCGATATTCAAACCCACAATAAAAATAAGTTATCATAAAAAACTTTATGAATTCATATTTTACACACAATATTATCTATAGATTAGATGCGAAACAGATATTTAGTACTGATTTGCATAACAATAGCAATAATAATCATAAATACATTATAATATACTATACAATACCATACATACTGTTCCGCAAACCACTTTCACAAAAGTTTTTGCAAAACTTTTTCAATTAGTATGCATTCAATGCATTCAATTTCATACACTTTCGCCATCAGCGGTGAACTCCGACTATAATTAAGACATTTTTTATCTGTTTTTGTTAAAAAGTTTTTTTTGCAATTTATTATACCGTAGAGAAAATATACGTCTATTTATAACTCATTGTATATTTTTAAATACCGGTACTAATTGGTAGTACCGGTATATTGTATCATAAATATTACGGTATTTTTAAATCCAATATAAGGTATATTTATTTCAACAAAAAGTAAAATAAGTTTTGTAATAATAACTAAATTAAGTGTACCATTGCTTATGTATAGTGTGTTGATTACAAACCTTGTGTATATTAAATTAACAATTGTTTCAAACAACCCTATCCAGTTTATATACTGATTAAATAAATTACTTTTAAATTAAGTTTTAATCATTGCTTTTGAATCATAATTTAAAAGTTTTATTTTATAAACTAATTTAAAAGTTTTGTTTTGTATTAAATAACTAAATAAGCAAATTCTAGTGATTGGCAATTTGTGAAAATATATTATAGCAATAATTTTATTTAATTTGAAATATAAAACAGTGATATTTAGTTTCATAATGATTTTAAATATTATTTTAATGTTAAATATTTCTTAATTTCACTTAAATATATAATATATTCTCGACAATACATTAAGGAAACTAAACTGTAATAACAAAATAATGATTATAATATAATATATTATGATAATATTTTGATAATATTTTGGATTATAATCGTATAGTTATTAAACATAATTAATTGCATTCATACACGCATATTGACTTGAATTTGATTTTTGATTG